GGCTGATCGGGGGCCAGTGGCCTGGGGGAGGGGCCATGGGTGGTTGGCCACCGGCCCTGCCCCTGATTGGAGAGGGGGGCCAATCAAGGGCAGAGCTGGCTGGGGGGAGGGGCTGCAGGTTGGCTGGCCGGCCCCGCCACCTATTGGGGTGGGAGGGGGGCAATCAGGGGCAGGCCCAGCCAGGGGGTAGGAGCTTCAGACCAATTGGGATGGTGGGGGCCCATCGAGGGCAGGGCTGGCCAGAGGGAGGGGCCTAAGCCATAGTCCAACATCCTTAGCACTGTTGTGGAAGCAGGAGAGGCTCCCACCACCACCACTGCGTTTGCCAGCCATCAGCCCCGCTTGTGGCTGAGCAGCGCTCCCCCTGTGGGAGTGCACTGACCACTACGGGGCAGCTCCTGCATTGAGCGTCTGCCCCCTGATGGTCAGTGCACATCATAGTGACCGGTCGTTCTGCCATTCAGTCAATTTGCATATTACCCTTTTATTATATAAGATATGCATAGCCCATGGACACAGACAATAGTGCGGTGAAGGCCTGGGGTGGGGCAAAGGGGAAAAAGTGGAAGACATGTGTAATACCCTGAACAATAAAATTTTTTTAAAAAGGGCTAAAATTAAAAAGACCTACAATACCAGATGTTTATAAGGATGTGGGGTGACTGAAACTATCATGCATTGCTGGTGAGAATGTAAAATGGTGCAACCAGCTTGGAGAAGAGTTCAGCAGTTTCTTATAAAGTTTATAAGAAAAACCATGTGACACAGCAATTCCATTTGTAGGTTTTTACTCAAGAGACAAAAAAGTGTGTCCACAAAAAATACTTGGTCACAAATGTTCTTCGCTATTTCATTTAAAATAGCTCCAAACTGGAAACCATGTAATGTCCATAAACAAATCATGATATATCCCTACAATGGAAAACTATCTGTGTCAAAGTTCAAATTGGTCTTCATGTAAATTTAACTACCACTTATAACATTGCTCCAAACAAAACTTTTATTGTGACCCTTCACTTTTCCTTCAAAGCCAACCTAAGAAATCTAATTCCGTAACAGCCAGGCTGAACAGCAGGTATTTCCAGACACCTTCAGATGCTCTAAACCAGCAGTCGCCAATCGGTGGTCCGCAGACCACTGCTGGTCCGTGAGGTCCGAAAGGTTGGCGACCGTTGCTCTAAACCACAATCCCAAGCACATTCTCTTTAGCCAACTGAGACATGTTTCCAAACTTGCAGGCTCAACCACATTCTATCTAGATGGAAAACGCCAGCCCAGCTGGTGTGGCTCAGTGGCTGAACATCAAACCAACCAGGAGGTTGCTGGTTCAATTCCCGGTCAGGGCACATGCCCGAGTTGTGGGTTCAATCCCTGGTAGGGGGCATGCAGGAGATAGCTGATCAATGTTTCTCCCTTGTGGATGTTTCTATCTCTCCCTCTCTCTGAAATCAATAGGCAGGAAACACCCAAGAGCAAATGGGCTCTCCCTGTTCTTGAAGTAACACAAACACAAGCACCTTATTTAACAGCTGACCCTCACCTCTAGGGAGATGTGTTTCCTCATCCCCACCTGGATCTCTCTGGCTCAAAGAAGGCCAGGCATCCTAGCCATTCTTTCCTTCCCCTCCTCATTACCACTTCTGAAGACTCTTAACTCTGAGGCCCTGATCACATCTGGTATCTTCCTAGCTTTCTTTCAATCCTGCTGCTATCCAGACGACTGATTAATAACCAAGCTTTTTTCCTTTAAATACTACAGAAGCTAATGAATCAACTTGTACTTATTTTTCAAATGTGTTATGCACAAGATTGGAATTTACGTTTTTTGCATGGAAAAAATATTTTTAAATGTTAGTTAAATTTTAGTACCTGTTTCAGAAAAGAGTCCAGAGCTGAATGTGCAGCTTTTTTCAATTCTATGTTTGTGTGGCTGCACCATTTTGACATGACTTCAAATAAAGAAACGTAGTTGTCCAGAAGGCAGGTGCTAAATTGAGATGCGTGCAGGGTAAATAAGTATAAGCCAGCTGCAAATGCAAATATCATTGTATTTAAAATAGGACCACAAAATGCACAACAAAGAACCAAGAAGGCTTCAGTACATGTCAAAATTAAAACTACTCATGAAGACCCGGTATCATTGCACTATAATGCCCTAAGGTCCTGATCAGAGTTCAAATGCCGCTATCCTCCACTTGAATCAACAGGTCCATGATTTCGCCAATTACCCCCAAAGCTCAGAAGTAGGAGCAAACCATCTGTATGCCCTAAATTATGCTCTAATTTTTTTAAATCATGTAATCTAGGTGTGACCATGTCAACCAAAATGTGTACTAAACACAAAGTCCCCCAAAACCTCCCCTCCTTCTCCTGTCCTAACCTACTTTACCTTCTCCTTCTCTGCCCTCCCCTCTTCTCTCCTCTCCTCTCTTTTCCCTTAGACCCGTGGTCGGCAAACCGCGGCTCGCGAGCCACATGCGGCTCTTTGGCCCCTTGAGTGTGGCTCTTCCACAAAATACC